GTATAAGGTTAAGTTGGCGGCATACAAATTGGAAGGAGATGCTCAAAGATGGTGGGACGCGATCAAACAAGCTAAAGGAAATGAATACGTTGATGCCCTTTCATGGATGGGGTTCCGTGAGGCGTTCTATCAGCAGTATTTCTCAGCTGCGGATAAGAATGCATTTGTGAGAGAGTATGCCACAATTCGCCAACGAGATGATGAGTCTGTAACAGACTATTTGGCAAGGTCTTTGAGGCTCGCTGGTTTTGCAGGGTCGTCAGCCGGGACATCTCTAGAGCAGGCTGARAAGTTTAAGTGGACAATTCATTACCGGTACCGTTCCAAACTTATCAATGAGAAATTTACGGATGTGGCACAGGCGGCAGATGCTGCCAAGAATATTGAGATGGAACGGCAAGACTTTTTGGCATCCAAATCAGATGGGGGAAAGAAAAGAAGTCGAGATGGGCAACAAAATCAGCAGCAAGGTGGTAACAGTGAGAATCAGTGGGGACATAATAATAGCAAGAGTCAGGGGCAGTGGCAAGGTCAAAATCAGGGTCAGAGGCAACCGTATCGTCAGCAAGATCAACAGGGACAGGGGCATAATCAGACTCGTTTTCAAAGGTCAGGCGACAAGGGTAAGCATGATTCGGTCCCTCAATGCAATTCATGTGGAAGGCGCCATCCCGGAAACGTGTGTTATAGGGCTTCCGGAGCTTGCTTTTTGTGCGGTGAGGTGGGACATTTGGCGAGAGATTGCATGAAATCTCGTAGCACCGACAAAAGAAATGACACTAAGGCAACTAGTGGAGGTAGGGTGTTTGCCTTATCAGCTAACCAGGCAGCAAATTCAGGTATGATTTCGGGAATTCTTTCGATTGGCACACATGATGTTTATGCTTTATTTGATACGGGGGCAACCTATTCTATGGTTTCTTTGATTTTTGCTAATCATCTTAGAATGCCTTATACATCGTTAGAATCGACTCTAGTTATTGCTACTCCTTTGRGTAATTCGGTAGTTATATCTCGAGAATTTAAAGGGTGTCCTTTAAAARTATGAGGTAAAATTTGTAAGTGCCATCTCTGTGTATTTTAAGACCTAGTTCGATTTCGAGGACGAAATCTTTTCTTTTGGGGGGAAGAATTATAATACCCGTCAGATGTGTGTGTGTGTGTGTATGTGTATATATATATATATATTAAGTTTGGGTTAGTTTCGGAAGTTGACCAAACTTGAGGGGTTAGTTCTGCATAACTCGCTTTAACTTTGCAATTTGGATGATGGGCTTGGGCTTGGGCTTGGGCTTGGGCTTGGGCTTTTGTATATTAGGGTTTAATTAGGTTTTTTTTCCTTATATTTAAACCTAACCCTAATCTTTTTTAACCTAATCCTCCTCCCTAACCCTAATTCCTCTAATTGTGATAATCGTTAGAGAGAAACCCTAAGAGCTTGGAAGAGTCCATTGATAACCTAGAAGGGAATCCGACGGCCAAAAGCAAGCAAGGTTCCATCAATTTCTTGTCGGTTTGAGGTAAGTTTTTGTCC